GCAAGACACCAGCTTATTGTCGAAAAAGTTAAATTTTCAAGATAAAAGTCATTAAGTGTTTTTAATAAGATTTTAAAATTTAAAGATTTAGCCGGAATTCAAATTATTATTATTATTATTATTATTATTATTATTTCCTTTGATTTCTGGTGTGTACACATTTCTTTCCGGGTCCCGACCAGAGACCTAAGGTTAGAAATGGCATCATGACATTTTCCAACGACCAATTAAAAACACACGCACATACACATATTTTACATATATGAAGCCCTTCGTAAGGTGTGCGAAGGACTCGTGAGACCATTATTATTATTATTATTATTATTATTATTATTATTATCTAAGTGATTTCCTTTATTTCCAATCTGCCGTAGATCAATGACCAGAGTAAAATTTCGATAAAAAGCACTTAAAACAGAAAAAGAACATTAACACTTGTCATAAGTAATAATGACTGATAATGCTTAGCGATGGTAAAAGGTCATGAAATTATGTGAGTTATAGTTATACATCAAAGCCTTTTTTTTAGCTTAGTGGTTAAAGCAGCCGATCATTTGCAAGTGTTTCTTGGGACAAAAGGTGCATGTGTTCGAATTTATCGTTTAGCTGATTCGCACGGTCTTCTCGTTGCCGTAGATTGATAGCCTAAATAAAGTCGTGATAAAAAAAATTAATTACAAAATAAAGTTGATTAAATACAAACCAAAATTAATAATAATAACTATTATTAAAGTGCGTGTAATACTTATGTCGGAGTTAGCTCCTCCTTAATACCCAAATTGTCACTAGGGGTCATTCTCCCTATACTATAAATACTGAACTACTTCTCGTCTCGTTCTCTTTTTCTTTGTTTTTGTTTTCATTTCTTCATTTCAGCGACTACAATGTAAGCTCTCTTAGAAGATCCGCGTCTTCTCTACACTTATCTTTCCACCCCATAATTTTTAGCGAGGAAGTACTGTGCAGGTGATTGATCCTCTACCACCAGCTCTCTGGCCATGAGTGAATGAAAATCAAGAATTTACTATAACAAAACCTAGACGAGGGGTCGGTAACCTACAGCACGTGTGCCACACGTGGAACGTCACGCAATTTCTAATGGCACGCAGCTGCAAATAACATCACGAAGTCCGAACCAATAACTACTACAATACTTCAATTTTAATACATATTATATATACTATATATTACTATATAAAGTATATTGTAGAACAGGTATATTGACCATGACTTGTATAAAAGTACGTATGCTGTTGGCACACTGAATAATTTTAAAACCCTAAATCAGCACAGAGCAAAAGGTTGCCGGCTCCTGGCCTACACAGATCGTGTAAAAGACTCGAAAAAAAGAAGATATTTGTCAAAGTTGTCGATATTATAAAATTCCTTAAAAAAAAACTGGTCTTATACATTTTTGAAATCCTCGTAATGAGACAGAAGCTGAAGGAGAAGGTTCGGTAACCTGAGGGAGTTCCGATTTTTGCCTCTATGAATCGTGATCGTAAAAAAAACCCATCTCGAAACAAATTAAGATATTCAGATGGAGTGTGCTCATTCATTAACCCAAAAGTGTACTTGGATGACCCACTTAGTGTGAATATGGTAGTAAGAATCCGATGTCATAAGATTTCAGTTGCCCTCTTTTGTACGGCGGATAGCCGAGCATGCGTAAAAAGAGTGGTGATCTATTGCCAATTAAAGTTGTAACTAAAAATACGCTCTCATCTCGAACTTTATATAGTGCTTTTTTTTTTTTTTTTTTTGGCAGAGATGTGGAAATTATCGGCAGATGATAATAGGCTTTGTTTCTTACTGCGGCTGTCACGTGATGTATATCTGCATAAGAGAGAGGAAGAGAGAAAGAGAGAGAGAGAGATTAATAGATATGTCTACGTACACCATATGCTGTATAAAAAGGGTAGAAGCAAAAGGAACCTCCGTCAGTATTGACCCGTTAGCGGTTATTAATTGAGTTCACCCCATGCAGTAAAGCCACAGAGACACAAGAGGTTACTGGGTGGGGAAGAGTTAAATGAATAAATATTATTAAGGAGCGAAAACAAAAGAAGAGTAATCAGTAGAACAGTAGATAGGGATTGACATTGCATAAAGTTGCCTGGATAGCATGGAGCCGGAAGGGAGTTCCACAAGCGAGAAGTGCGAGAAAAGAAACTGTTAGCATAGAATTTACGGCTACATCTAGCCAGCTCATCTGTAAATTGATGAGACCTCGACGCCAGTCAAGTACTGTACTTAAGTTCAATGAGTCTAGGTACCATAGCGAAGAGCTCATCCGAACAATTGCCATGAAGGTATTTATAGAAAAGACACAGGGAGGCAACCTTACGGCAGTGGGAAAGTGACTGAAGCCGAGCCGCCAGATCATCACCGATAATATCGATGATTCTTCTTTGGGTTTTATCAAAGAACTCTTGATAAATAGCAGGAGCCCAGGACCATGGTAGGTAGCTTTATAGATATGCCATATATATATATATATATATATATATATATATATATATATATATATATATACCAGGTGTAACAGAAAAATTGTCCAAGTCGTGTAAAAGCGTTGGATAATTGTTCGTCTCATAAAATATTTAATATATATATAAAAATTAAACTAATTGAGTTTCTTTTTCCAGGATCTCAGATAAGACATTTATTCATTTTGACACCATTTGTCGTAAGAATCGCTGAAAAACCAAATTCAGCTAGAAATAGAACCGGTTAAAATCGTTTTGTGTGACCCCCACTGTCTTCCCAAATGAGCAATGGTGAGAGGAAAAAAATCATTCAGGTCTTCAGTAATGGTACCAAAATTTATACTCTGGCTTTCATCTTCAAAGTCCATTCAAGAACTATTAAGAGAACGGTGAATAAGTTTAAAAAAGAGGTAACAGTAGAGACGAAAACTGACTCAGGAGGTCACAACGGGAATAGGGATTATCATTTCAAGTTTGAGCTGAAGAGATCAATTAGAAAAATTCCAACTCAATCCATAAGACGTTTGGTACGTGGGAGAGAAGTTTAACCCATGAGAGTACAAAGAGATTAAATCGTGCGTGAAACCTGTGAGACAACTTGCTAATCCAGAGCAGAAAGTTAGAAAGTTAGAGAGGGTGAAGATCATCATAAGTTGGAACATAATCCTGGAATATATATATATATGAACTTTATATCAATACTTCATAAGCTTCCGATGTTTAGCTATAACTAATTAATGATGAACATGTCCTTTTTCTTTATGATCGATTTTATCACGATTTTTTGTTAAGCTTAAAAAGTAATTATATATTCTTATTGCTCAAAATAGTGTCCAATAATGATATAAAACCCTCGGAAAAATTTCAGTGAGATATCTTTAATCATTTCTAAGATACAACGGTTCAAAGCTTAATCTAACAAAAGAAAAAAAAAAAACAAAATTGAAGAAAAAAGAAAATAATACACGAGGACGAAAAAGAAAAGAATAAGCCAAGGAAAAAGAAAAGAAGAAAAAGAAAAAACAAGAGAAAAAGAAAAGAAAAGGAAATAAAGAGAAAAAGAAAGGGAAAAAAGAAGAAAAAGTAAAGAAGGAAAAATGTAAAGAATAAAGAAATGAAAAGGAGAAAAATGAAAATAAAAAGAAAGGAAAAGAAATGGAAAAAAGAAAAGAAAAGAAAGGAAGATAAAAAGAAAGTACAAAAAATAAAAAGAGAGAAAAAACGAAGAAGAAAGAAAAGAAAAGAAAAAAGAAAGGAAAAGCAAAGAAGTTAAACAGAAATGAAAAGAAAAGAAAAGAGAGGAAAGAAAAAAGATAACAATAAAGGGAAAAAAAAAAAAAACGAAAAAGAAAAAAAAAAGGAAAAGTTAAAAAGAGAGGAAAAGAAAAAAAGAAAGGAAATGAAAAGCGGAAGATAAAAAGAAAGAGTAAGAGATTATAAAGATTTCTCATCTCTTTTCTAAGTAGAGAAAAGAGGCTTTGGTTTTCTGCGAGGTGGACAAGTCCAAATGAAGCATTTAAAGTCCGATCGCACATTTATTCAGTTTTTATTAATTTCAATCATAATAATATGTATACATATATATCTGCTTGTACGTATATACCTGTATGTTTGTGTGTGTATGTGTCCCCGTAGTGCATACCTCTATGTGTGTGTACGTGTGCCAACTACGAATGCCTTTTCCGATGATGAATACGTTCTCAAGATTTTCAGCACTTGGAATTTGATCGTTTACAAACATGTTGTCTCTCAAAGTCGGTCAAATTCTAGGTCGAGCCAAATCCGAAGAATCTTCTTTCGACTCGGATTCATAGATGCAAGATTTTAAATACACAATTGTATTATTATTATTATTATTATTATTATTATTATTATTATTATTCCTTTGATTTTTGGTTTATACTCATTTCTTTCCGGCTCCCAACCAGAGACCTAAGGTCAGAAATAGCATCATGACATTTCCCACTGGGCAGTTTTGAAAAAAAAAAAAAAAAACATATTTTATATAGATAAAGCCCCTCGTAATGTGTAGGCTGTACTTGTAAGAAGAATTTTTTTGTATTTCTTTAAGGCATGTGATATCAGAAATCCCTTCAATGCCTCTGTTGGAATATTTCCAAATCAATTCGAGGGCCCCAACTGGAATTGTTGATGTCCTCATGTGCCACATTTTTGAGATTTTCGATTTCAAGATCCTGTTTATTATTATTATTATTATTATTATTTCTTTAGGTAGAATGTGTAATGCGAGGTTGGCGATCGTGGCTCTTCGATTCATAATTGAGTTAGCAGAAGAATTCTCACTGTAGTCTGCCACTACTTTCTGACAACCAAGTCTATAGGGTTGTTTCTTTTGCTATTTAACCCATATCCGAGGGAGAAGGGATCGAGTCACACTTTTCACAAGGGAATTTGCGCGTAAGTGAATGTAATGAACTTGACTAGAATTCGAACTCAGCTCTCCGATTTCTCATTCGAGCCGTTATCCATTTCACCCCAAGCACATTCAAGCTTGCAACACTTGGTCTTCCCAAGTGGTCACCCATCTAGATACTGACCAGGCTCGATGTTGCTCAACTTGGGTGATTGGATGTGAACCGGTGTTTCAACGTGATATGGCTGTAAGCATATTATTACTATTACTGTTATTATTCTCATTATTATTATTGGGTAGGAACAAAGCGTGCGTTGTTTTTCGATAGGTAGCGTTTGAACACGTGATTTAGTTTCTCACGCGACTGAAATTTAAGACATGTAGGTATATTCTGAAAGGTGACATTGAAATTCTTTTTGTATCATGAATGTTAAATGTTTTTATGTTAAAAGTGAAAATGTAGGAAAATGAGATGCGTTTTCGAAAGAAAAAACACTGTATGAACAGCAAAAAAGATATGTGCCGTTTATGGAGATGGTGCCATAGCTGAGAATAATGTTCGAAAGTGGTTCACTAGGTTCAAACGTGGAAATTTTGAAAGTTGCTTGAGAAAACAAAATGAATCACCAATAGCCATTTCATAACTCGGGAGACACCAGAAGACGATACTGCACATTTGGTGGGCCTGGGCAAGCGTTGTGCATTATGAGATCCTTCCACAAAATCAGGCGTTGAATTCAGACAAGTATTCTTCGTAATTGGACCGATTAAAAATTACAATTTATGAAAAGCGTTTGGAATTGAATAATGAGAAGTGTTTTGTTTTCCGTCAGGACAGCGCCAAATCTAACGTTTCTTCACGGACCCCTGGTAGAAATTGGCACAGCTTGTCGGGATGTCCTACACCCACCACATTCACCTGACCTCTCAGCTTTGGATAATCATTTATTTCGATCCTTAATCATTTTTTTTAATGTGAAAGACCTGTAAAAAGCATTCAGTGCAGTTCTTGGAGGATGGAATCATGAAGTGGCAACAATATGGCGAGTGAAACAAAATGGCATATATATGGTTGAATAAATCTATGTACAAATATCTAAATATTGTCTTTGAACGTTACGAACATTTATTCCAACCCATTATTATTATTATTATTATTATTATTTCCTTTAATTTCTGTTGTATACACATTTCCTTCCGGGTCACAACCAGAGACCTAAAGTCGGAAATGGCTTCATGATATTTTCCACTGATCATTTTTGTAAAAAAAAAAAAAAAAAAAGCCTAATATCCGTCTATATTTCTGAGGTGAGGTATTTTCTCGGATAATCCTTCCACATTGGGTAGGCAGACTGAGGCATTAGTTTTCTAAGTCCCAAAAATTCATATGTAGATGCCGAGTGGATAAAGGCGTTGGTTAGATCCAGTGAGTTGTGAGTTCAATACCAGGCTATAGCAGTGCTTTGTAATTTCTAGTTGTTATTATTATTATTGGGTTGGCACAAAAGTTCGTAGAGTTTTTCAATATTTTTTGTCATTTGAACACATAATTCTGTTTCACACGTGACTGAAATTTATGAACTATAAACATTTCTATACGATTCGTGGTTGCATAGAGAATTTAAATGTTTTTACTTGCATTATTTACATTATTTTGACTGCTATGCTTATCTTCATTGCCATATTCACAAAGTTTCGGTCGTTGTACGCTCCGGCCCTCTTCAGATGATCGAAATTTCGAACCGAACCCTTTATTTCGTCCACCGTGGTAGATTGTTCTACTTCCTCATGGCGCAGTGAATAAAGACGTTGGTTAGAGCCAGTGACTAAACCCAAATGGTTGTGAGATCAATACCGGCCACAGCAGTGGTGAACCAAAACTTGGAGAGTTTAGTTAAAGGGAAATAACTGAGACATCTGGAAGAGGCATGGCACGTGGAACTAGAACAATCTTCTCCGGTGGACAAAATAAAGGGTTCGGTTAGAAAATATAATCAATAAATTCAATAGACATAAATCTTCTACTGCTTTTAGTAAGATTTGTTTTTAATTTCTGTCTATATCTCTGAGATGAGGTATTATGATTACCTACATTATTAACATTATTCGTACTGTTATCCTCATCTTCATTGCCATATTCACAACGTGGAACTAGAACAATCTACCTCAGTGGACGAGATAAAGGGTTCGGTTCGAAATTCTAATCACCTGAAGAAGGACGAAGCGTACACCGGCTGAAACGTTGTGAATATGTCAATGAAGATGAGGATAACAGTCCGAATAATGTAAATAATGTAATTAGAAACACCTAAGTTCACGCAAGTTTTACAAAGATAAAGCTCTTAGTAATATCTGAGTTGTACTTGTGAGTACAGTTTCTTTTGTATTTCTTTAAGGTATGGGCAACTAGGAATTCCTTCATTTAGTCTATCGGAACATTTTCCAGTCAATCCGAGGGCTCCAACTATAACGGGGATTGTTGATGCCCTTATGTGCCACTTTTTTTTAGATTTCTACTTCAAGATCCTTGTATTTTGATTGTTTTTTGAAGATCAAAGATACATTACAATCTGCAGGGACAGCCATGTCAATAAGAAAACACATTCTGTTCTTGTAGTCTTTGATCACGATGTCTGGGTGATGAGCTTTGATGGTTCTGTCTGGGTGGTTTGTAAAATCCCATAAAATTGTTACAGGTCGTGTGTCTGTAACTGGGCTTGGGTGGGGTTCATATCAATTTTTGTAGTTTTCCTTCTAATAAAAGATATTGGCCCACCCTGTCAAAGTTTTATATTCCGTTGAGGTTAATACCGTGCAACCTGATACAAGAAGGTCAATTGTTTCTGGATATTCATCATAGAATCTGTATTTGGGGTCAACACTATTATTATTATTGTTGTTTTATTGTTTTTTTCCTTGAGTAATAAGAGAATTATGTGCTTTTGGCATCGCAATTTATCTCTCTTGCTTATTTCATTTTAATTAGTAAGAGTGGCAAATTGCGATGCCAAAACTACATAATTCTTTTTTTACTCAAGGAAAAAACTCTATAAAACACCAACAAGAACAACAACAACAATAATAATAATAATCAGCAAGGCTGATGCTGATCCCCAGAAGGGTGACTAGTGGCGCCTTCTTGGGCTAACATGAAGTGAAAAGACTATATTGCATCCATTGCTAAGTCAGCTGCGAGGAAGATTAGTTCACTGTGTTGTTCCAGACGATTTTCCACTCTACAGAATCTATCTTACATATCTATAAGTCTACCATTTGTCCATGCTTAGAATATTGCTACCACATATGGTCCGGCGCTCCTGCTATTTATCTAAAATCCAAAGAAGAATCAGCAATATTATTGGCCCTGTTCTGGATTCAGTATCTTTCCACCGTCATAATTTTGCCTTCCTGTGCATTTTCTATAAATGGTAATTGAATGAGCTCTTCGATATGGGTACTAGTAAGGTCTTTCATAGAGACATTGCGGTATTATGGTGTATGCAGTAAGAATAGGAACTATGAATGCGCTGTTTTGGTGTTAGAAATATTGGGGCATGTTTGGGTCAGTGATTGTGGCTAGCTATATTTAATGTTAACATAGAAGACGACCATCCTTTTTCCTCATTACCCAATTTGACCTTGTGCCGCATTTTGTATTAAGTTACGAATAAATATCGCTCTTCGCTATGGTGCCTAGACTCTTCGAATTTAAGTTCAGTACTGGATTGGCGACGAGGCCTCACCAATTAACTGTTGAGGTGCCTAAATGTAAACGTAAATTTTATGCTAACAGTTTCTTTTCTCGCACTTCTCACTTGTAGAACTCCCTTCCGGTTCCATGCTTTCTAGCCAATTTTAATCTGAAAAAGTTTAAATGCAATAACAATCGCTAACTACTGTCCTCGTGATTACTCTTTGTTTGTTCTCGATCCTTAGCTAACGTTCTCAGCTAACATAAAATGGAAAAAATATATTGAATCCATTGCTAGGAAAGTTGGTTAACTGTGTTATACTAGGCAGTTTTTCTTTCCAGAGTCTGTCTTATATATCTATAAGTCTACAATTCTTCAATGCTTAGAATATTGCTGTAACATATTGTCCAGTTCTCCAGCTATTTATCTAGAGCTCCTTGATAAAATCCAAAGAAGAATCAGCAATATTATTGACCCTGATCTGACAGCTCGGTTTCCAACCACTGTAATGTTGCCTCACTTTGACTTTTCTATAAATACTTTCAATGGTAATTGTCGAGATAAGCTCTTCAACATGGTGCCTAGACTCTTTGAATTTAAAGACATTACTAGACTGTTTACAAGGTTTCACCAATTTACAGTTGTCTAGATGAAATCATAAATTCTATGCTAACAGTTTCTTTTCTCACAGTTCTCGCTTGTGGAACTCATTTCCAGCTCCATGCTTTATAGCCAATTTTAATCTTCAGAAATTTAAATGCAATGTCAGACACTATCTATTGTCCTCCTGATTACTCTTTCTCTGTACTCGCTCTTTAGCAATGTTCCTGTTTCTAACTCTCCCACACCCTGTAACCCTTTGTGTCTCAGTGGCATTACAGCCTCACATGGGGTGAACTCGATTAAAAAAAAGGCATTTTTCTGTTGTTTCAACAAAGTGATGATTCGATAAAGGACTATATTTTTCAGATGCCTTGTTTTTGGCATCTGACGCACGCCTTCTCTATGACCATTCCTTCCTGGAAAAATCTATGTCGGCAGAGAACGTAGAAATGAAATAAAGTGAAAAGTGAATGTTGCCACCGGACTGTAGACCTCGTCCTTATATCTGTAAACATTCATATATCCTCGCCTATCTATGTATTACAAGTCTAGGGTAGTTATAACCCCTGAGTAAATAATTATAACCCCTTTACCTTTATATATATATATATATATATATATATATATATATATATATATATATATAAAAATGTGTATATTTAGGCAGCATTTTTCATTGATACATGTTTCATTAAATAATATAGACAAGTGCTGTCTATTTATTTTATGTAAATTCTTTCATAACGTCTGATAAACATCATTAAACGAAGAAAATCACAATATTGATACACAGTTTTTAATCATATCTAAGCTTTCGGCTTAAAAGATTATCAAAGATGACAATTACATTACAATATATTAAGCAATACACAGGCAAGACAGTGATGATAGTCTATTTCTGTTGACCACGCGAGAGTGAATTCGAGAAGTATTAAAAGTCGTTGGTATAAACCAAT